ACACACACACACACACATATATATATGCATATATATATATATATATATATATATATATATATATATATATATATATATATATACATATGCATGTGCATACACATATCTATATACATCTGTGTACATATACATACATACGTATAGATATACCAGTATATATACATATATATATGCATATATGCATATATATATATATATATATATATATATATATATATATATATATATATATATATATATATGTACACACACACCTGTCGGCAACTCCATGAGAGGAAAAAATGGCTCTCTAAATGATAAACACGGCGAATGCACAGTAAATCGTTATGTAGCCTAGCACACACACATATATATATATATATATATAATATACACATACAGATATTATATACATGCATATGTGTGTCTATATACATACATATATATATATATATATATATATATATATATATATATATATATATACATATACATATACATATACATATACATATATGCATATACAAAAAAATTCACTGTGCATTCGCCGTGTTTATCGTTTAGAGATAGCCATTTTTCCTCTCATGGAGTTGCCGACAAGCCGTTCACTGGATTGATGTGAGATGTTACCTGCTTCATCTGACAGTCTCATATATTATAATTTTTAATAAGCTCCATAAGAAAAGAGGCAAGTTCTGGCGAGCAATAAAAAAGCGATCGTAACACGTAGGAGGGGCATAGACGAAGCAGCTATATTCCGTTATCCCTTCACTTCTCCAATGGCCAGTTCCTCCCTACCTTATCCTGTTCTTCTGGAGGCGAGTTGGATAAAACGAGTTGGGTGCAATTGGGTACAAATATCCGATCGACACTGTATCCTTGCAACGTGATTCTAGCGGACATTTAGCTATTATGAACGAGAAAGAGTATTGCTGATTTTTTTCTTCTTTTTTTACGAAAACGAATGTCAGGTTGTTTTGCAGTGACGTAAAGGGAACTAGTTTTTGTCTGCTGTCTTTCTTCGCTTCGCATATTGTTCATACACCGACCAGCATAAATACACATGATATATTTTGACGCCCAGTTATACTTGAACAATTATATAAGCAAAAAAAATACAATCACAGCGCTCGCAAGACGGGGCGGCGGGACGTGCCAAATGTCGTGCTGAAGGCCAAGCCACAGCTAATCTCCCACCGCCTCGTGCTTGCGTGTATCCCACTCCTAGGCCCCTCCTCCAACACCATACTTTGTGTTCCTGATTCCTGTCCCTCCTGTACCCAAGGTGACCTCGCCTCTACCCAGACCAGGCCCCTCAGTCCGCCATGAGTAACTTACTGGTCGTCACGTACACCATAGCTGAGCCCCATACCTCATAGTTGATACCAGAGTCATAGTATTTAGACTTAGGTTAGGCTCACCTGTTAGGAATGTCGCGCTTGTATTACTTCCATTATTATTGTTGTTGATGTTGTCAACACTATTTTTGTTTTTGTTTCTATCTATTTCATATTAAAAAAATATATATTGTTGGTAGCGTTAGGAATATATATATAACTTCCTGTGATTATGATTGTTATTAAGGTTAATTATATTACTTTCATTTTATTACGGAATTCTGAAGAGTAATATGCGATATATAATGATTCGCAGTAATATAAAAAAGTAAAAGGCTAAGACACTAAGATGCTGGCTGGAAAGATACTCTGTACACTTACCATTACAGTCTTCTTCAGAATACATGTAGTAACTAAGTATTAACATTGGCCCTATGATTTTCATTCATGTCCCTTATTTATTGGTTTATTTATTTGTTCATATATTTTTTTTATTTCTCTCGCACCGTAAGAAAAATACGAGGCTTGCCTTTTATGGGAAGTAGCTATGGGCGAGAAAATATTCACGTTCGCAGAAATATAACGACAATGAACCAGCTAACGAGCTACGTCCTCTGAGAGCATACAGCCCACCTGGCCAGTAGAGGCACCACCTGCAAGCAGAAAAAAATATGAATAGTTATTTGCGACTTTAAACAAGCGATCCGGCTTCGGTTGCAGTCTGCTTGCCAGCTCTACTTAGTGTGAAGAAATATACACGTATACTTGCTGGGTAATTTTTAGTAATGGATAGGCCTTATTGAGAATCTGGAGGCGTGGGGGAGCGGGTTTATGAATGTATGATAATGTGCATTACAGTTGAGAAACATGTACCATTTTAATTTTATACTCATGTGGAAGCTATTTCACACTTATGCCAAGCTTAGTTATAGGTTAAACTTTCAAAAATCTTTATTTTGTCAATATCCCAAAATGTGCAGGTATGTGTGTGTGTGTGTGTTTGTGTATGCGCGTGTAATTTACAATATTATCTATTTATTCTTTATTATTTACTATTTTAAAAAGAATATGATGGGAGTTACATACACCCCCTTGATACCGACCTGGGTGTCACGCCTGCGAAACCCCACGGAGCCGGCCAGCATTGAGACTATTGGCGCGGATGGGGAGGAGGAATTCTGTTAGGGTTAAGCTGTTTTATGGGGAGATCGTTCCACGGAAATGGCCAACCCCCTCTGGCTGTAGAGTTGGCGAGAGGATAAGAAATGAGTTTGTGAACTGTGAATTCCCCATTTATGAGAACGGAGAAAAGTAGTGTGTGTAGTGGAATTGATGCAAGGATGATATGACTGATGTGTTTATTTTTCTGTGGACTGTTGTAAAATATAAGACATATATAGTCGTCTGGTTTTGCATGGGTCAATGCTGTAGATAAATTCCCATATAATGATATTGTCAACATCAGAAATGCTAGCCCTTTTATAATACTGAAGAAAAAAATATTTACGACACGCACGCTTTCATTTTGACATGCTTGGGCCAATGCACCCTTGCTTTTGTTAATGAATATGGATGGGTTTCGTCTTCGTGTAAGTATGTATGATAACGACACGCCGTACCAAAGTACCGCGCCGGTAACCTAATACTTCTGCATGCAATGGCTTTGTTGAGCAAACTGAGTAAGTCTTTATGACCCCTTAAATGCAAAATAAACCTCTTTGGCGTCTACCACCCTAATTATCTGCTATTTTGGTAATTGGTAAACTCGCCCAAAAACAAAAACTAACCAAACATAAAACAGTACCACTCTTTACCAACTTCTTAACGACCAAAGAAATTCCTTGTCTTGAAACCTCTTCGCCGGGGACAACCACACAAAGAGTTGCCAACTATTCTTTATTTTTTTTATGAACATATATAACACCTACATAACTTTCTATGGGCTTTGACGCAGTTTCAAATATTCATAAAACCGATAAGTAATAATTAACAAATGAGAAATGTTGAAAATAGCAAATATTACGATAAATATGTATTGGCAACTGCATCAACCTGCACATGATGCGAGTACATGATCTTTCTTCGACATTAAATAGCCCGTTTCCGGCCATGGACTGCACTGTATCTGAAATATAAAGGACGTGTCTCGATCACACGACTGAGCGGGTTATCGTGGTGTTACTACGATGCTGATTTATTCATATTAATTGTGTATTCCTTAGAAGTGAGGATTAAATGTTGGAATCGCGGGTCACTTTTCATGTTATATGGTATTCTTAAATCACACACACACACACACACACACACACACACACACACACACACACACACACACACACACACACACACACACACACACACACACATATGTATATATATTATATATATATATATGTGTGTGTGTGTGTGTGTGCAATGTAATATAACGTAGATAAACAGATAACAATCTCATCAAAATAGGTATTCGGACGAGCATTGAAAGGAATGAATTTGTGGGTTTGCTGAATGATGTTTATAGTCTGTTTATTTGCTTCTGTAGAATGTAAACGTCCCTAACACTAAGTTGAGTGGCCTGAAAGTGTTGTTTATTTTTACAAGTACCATAAGAGGGGTTGAATTCCCAGTCAATTTGATGCATAAAAATGTTAAAACATATTGAGAGAATGGTTTCAGATAATAAAATACTATTTTTACTTTTGTACAGTATGGTTGAGTATATTGTTATCTATTGGCATTCCGAAACAGCTTCCTTTTTAATTTTTCTTCCTGTTCTGTGCTAAGGTTTGAAAAAACGCAAACTATCATGCAACTTTCAAAACTGCTTACATCAGTAGTCAGTGCATTTTTATCATTAACTGGTGATGATATTAGAACTTGTGCACTATCCTACTTACATGCAGTTATTAATAGCATCAAATCCTGACTGGCTGTTGTTAAGTATTGCTCCAACTTTGTTATTTCGTTTGTGGTTTTAACGGAATGTAAAGAGAGACATGCACACATTGTATATGAAAAACATGGAATATGTGTCTCCTTCCCTACTGTAGTCGGGCTTTCTCTTAAGAAAGTGATACAAGGTAATAACGGTTTCGCTGTTTTTTCATTTGATCATTTAATGTTAATATCGCATATTCGACGTATTTGCGTCCAGGATAAGATTTCATGCATTGAAATTATACTTTGAGAACCTGTGTCTTTTTGTGATCAGTCAGTAATTGTTTTTTTCTGTCGATCAACTTTTGTCAGTATTCAGCAATCTGCTCCAAGCACGAAACATTCTGGAGAGCGCCTTTTATGGTGATTTATTGGCTCACTTTTGTCGTTTTCCCAATCCAGTAAATTAATTCTTCGAAGAATTGTTTTATCAAGTGAACGTCATTTCGTTTAAATCAGTTGTTAAAATGCCTTCGAGTCATTTGAAGTTGGCAATCTCCGAGGGCTTACATTTTACTATTCTCTAACGGACGGCACTGATGTAACTGATTATAAAGATGGCGTCGGGGTGGGGATCGTGATAAAAACTAATCTGTGTAAAAGAACAACATCCTTCTGATTTATGCATTGCCGATGGAGTAATGATAGACTTCATTCAAGATATTGCGATATTCTTACAGCCATGTAACTCAACGTGAACATGTTAACGCTGTAAAATACCATGATTATTAATGTGGACAATTTTTACAGGGCCAGACAGCATTTTGGAGACAGAAAATGCGCACGCATCATCAGGTGATTGACCTCAACAAGGACGGCGTTGTGTCATGGGATGACTTCGAAGTCCTCATTGCTAGGTTCACTGAGCTTGGACACCTGTCACCTAAGGAAATTGGCAAATTCACAGATGCATTACGGGTGAGATATATTTCGATAAATTATATTGAAAAAAAATCCATTTGGTTGAAGTAATAGTATGTATATTCCCTTGCACCATTATGAGGAAAAAACTGCAAAATCCTTCATTTCTTTATTGACAAAATATGTTTCATGAAGGTAATTATTTTTTTAAAAATCATCAAATTTATTAATGTTTTTTAATTAAGAAATGAAACGGCATTTATATTTGGTTTCTCTGGACAGCACGTTTGGGAAGAGGAGTGGGGTGCTTCAGGTGACCCGTACATCTTCATCGGACAGGAGCAGTTCCTGACGCAGATGGAACATGTTGTCAACTCGAAGTCACTGAGAAAGAGAGTTGCTAGCCCTCTGCCCTATTTCTTTAGCGTAAGGCTTTTCATAATAATTCTAATAGTATCTTTGCTGTAAAATATATTTGTGTTTCGACAAAAAATCGTTGATTGATGAATGTAATATATTCTTCATGTCCTCACTTACAGGCCGTAGATCGTGATGGAAGCGGGGAAATCTCCATTGAAGAATTCAAAATCTTTTATTCATGCTTAGGATTATCAGAACAAGTAAGTTAAATGGAAATGTTATTGGTTTTGCATCATATTTTTACATTAAATTTTATTTTAAGAGTCTAGGCAAGAACTCTTACATGATTCTCTATAGAAAATAAATCCAGTTCTCATTGTTAAGTATACGTTAGTATTATATAAAATGTCAACTATAAGTAGTTTACTCTGAAGTTTTTAATTTAAATAGGTAAGCATCTTATAGATTACTTTTCTAATATGCAGTATCAACTTCGAACATTTTCACTACACATCAAATTAAATAAATGATTTTAACCAATTGTGCTGGAATCGCATGACACACAAGCCATATGTTCAATGTGATTTAAGTTTATTTAACCCGTTCTATACATAAAATATGTTTTGTTATACGAACATATATCACACCGAAGCAGCATGCTACCAGAAATGCCGGTGTTGTACGCTAGTAGACGAAGTAACCCTATTTATGAGGATTTCGTAATGGTATTTCGGTATGTTGGGGAAACATAATGTGTACATGGGGAGGGGGGCATTCGGTAAAGAATGGGTTAATTGTAATTAGACACAAATGGCTTAACAAGTGCTTAGGTACCAAATAGTCAATTACTTATCCCATCTAATTCGACTGTTTATCAATTTCCTTGAATTTCAATAAAAAGGTTGCCAGTAGTATTGATGAAATTAAAATAATCATAATGTCAATAATAAGTATAACATTGTCGATATTAAAACTACAGAAGAGTCTTTGTGAAGCAAAATTTACTAAAATAATCATGTACCGGTAAGGAGTGAGTTGAGCCATGAACATGACACTTGATAACCTTCACAGTTACAGTATTTTTTCCCCCTTTTTTTCAGGCTGCCGAAGAATCCTTTGCTTCTATTGATCTAAATAAGGATGGAAAGCTCAGTAAGAAGGAGTTTATAAAGTTGGGGCGAGATTTCTTCCTTTCCGAGAAAGAGCACAAACCTAGCAAGCTTTTCTGGGGTCCCTTGGTTTCATAAGCACCTGTAGACAGTTTTGTGGACTAGTGAAGAAAATGTTGAATTATGTGAGCATGACTGACAGAAATTAGATAAAGTCATATGATCTAGGGTCCTGTGTTTAATATGCCCCTGTTGGTAGTGTTGGAGATTTGTTAAGAAAATGTTGAGTAATGCAAATATGACAAATTAGATGAATTAAAATAATGAAACTGCATTAAGATATTTGCAACACTGTCTCTATTTTATTATTTTTATATTTTGTATTGTATAAAGTCAAATTGCCATTAATTGTTGAATAGCAAAAAATATATTTAATTAAGTAGTGTAAAGTGTGATATCATCATTTGCATTTCCTTGCAATCTGATTTTTTTTCTTTATCTTTATTATGAGGTAGAATTTACTGAAATTTATAACCCCGATAGATTTTACTGTAGCACTGGCAATAAAGTAATTCTTCCTTATCATTGCATACTGAATAAATTTTACAATGTATCTTGTATTAGTTCGTTTTGGTGTGGGCATGTAGATAGCTTTGTGATGATTTGAACTAAAAAGAGATGTCTTGTAGGTCTGCTTTTTGTTTTTCAACTCATGATAACACTTATCCTCTGTAGCTGTATAATGTATGCAACATTAGAGGATGAAATTCCTTGTCCTTCATTTCTTTTATTTACAAATATTTTCATCAAAATATAATGAATTACTCATTTTACTAAAGAAGCTTTTATTCTGCACATAGTGAATTATTCATTATATAATTTTTTCTTTAAATCTGTTTTTTTCAAGAAATTATTGAAAATGATACACTTTTACAACTCATGATAACACTTACCCTCATTAACTATATAGTTAATGCATTTTGTGAGGATGAAAATCATTTTCATTAAAGGCATCACAAAATTATTTCTTTTATTTACATACCTTTTAATCCAGATAAAAGGATTATTTAAAAATATTTTTATGGGTGGTTAATGAATGTCATTGTCAGCTAACAGATAGGATACCATAAATATTTCATATAATTTCACTGATACTTTCATGGAACTTTAAAACTAATCATTCACATGAAGGATTACAATTTTAGATAATACCAAATAATTTCATGCATGTAGGGACATCATCATATATGAAATAATCCTTACAGACTGCTACAAACTGTTTCCCAGTAGCATAAAGAAATGGTACAATAAATGATGGAGCTAAATAGAGTAAAAAAAAATAGATATTGTACTATACATTCCCTGCTGATTATAAAGATCAGTAAAAACAGTTATTTAAGAGAGTATTAACTTCAGGCCAAAGTCCTCAGTTGTCTTGATGTGATTACTACTCTGAAGAGAACTTTTAAAAAAATTGTTGAGAAAATTACCTTCCTTATACAAGAATATGTAAGGATACTGAGGTCTTGAACAACAGCTATTAGGAAATATATAGCTCCTAAATTTATGATGCAGGCTCCTGTAAATATACATTTTGATAAAATGCCTCTACTGGGGATTATAAGTTAGTGGGTCTTCTTCTCTGAGTATTAATCACACTTTGGTCTAGAAATATATCTGGTACAAAAGAAATGTAAATAAAGCCTGGAAGCTACTTTATTGTCTTTTTTTTTCTTGTTGCCTGGTTTTATATGAACAAACTTTTTCTTTATAATATTCAACTTACACACATGTTGAATAAATCCAACAGGTCAGCTTTATTTTGAATTTGAATTCACCTATCCTGTATCACTTAAGGTCCGTGATTCTAATATTTATTTTAAATATACTTTGAGAAGTATTACCAAAAGTCCTTTGTTTAAGTAAGCTTCTGAATGTTCATAGACAATGTAACCCACCATTACCTCCAAGATACCTTCTTGTGGATGCATAGATTGGAGTGTCCCAAATAGTGGTGGAGATTGGGTTGCCTGGATTTAGAATAGTAAAAGAATTTAACTTGGAGAGGAAAGGGGTAGAAGTGGGATGAGGAAGAGATACTCAGGGAGATGTAAAAACATCTTTGGAGGTAAGGGGAAGGGTGGAGTGAAGGGTAGCACTGGAATAGGGAGTAGGAGAAAAACCTCATCTGCATGCTTCCTGTCTAGCCTCTTCTAAAGTGAGACCAAAATTGAATCCGAGAATTGCCACCTCAGACTCAAACTTGTAGGTAGGGCAGCCCCTATAAAATACACTAAGGGAGCCACCACATTTGACACATATGCATGATTGTACAGAGCAGCCTGATTTATCATGACCAGTCTGGGCACACAGAGGGCATCAGGCTGTAGAGCGGCAGTGTTTGGCAGAGTAGCATTGATGCCAACAATTCTAACACGGACAGGAGAGAGATTGATATGGTTGGACAGGACAAGACTCTCCGCCAATATAAACATTAAGGGGGTCATAGCCACTGAAAATAATCTTGGGAATATTGGCAGAGGACTTACGACAGCCTGTAGGGGAATGGTGTAGCATTGTATTGATAGTGCATCATAGTCCATGAGGCAGGCAAGTAGGTCTTCTCCACAATTTGATCAATTCCTATCATAGAGCAGTTTGTCAGGGAAATGGAGACCGTTCCTTTACAAGTAATGAGGGAGCTAGTGAAGTCAGTTAGGGTTGATCATGCTTTAGCTTGGGATTCAGTTGTTACTGTCACAAAGCATGAATGGTTAGGGCAGTTGTGGAAGGAAACATTGTTTTTGGAGGCATTGCTGGAAGAGGAGTGTTGTCAAAGTAAGGGGCTGTAGAGGGGGTCACTAAAAATCAATCCAAAAAGGTTTGTAGAAATGGGGGCAGTAGAAGGATGGGAACGTGCAGAAGAGAAAGTAGTGCTGAGAGGTAGAACTGCAAAGAGGTGGACAATAAGGCTGCAGAGTAGTAATTAAGGAAAGAGGGGTAGTAGATAGAGAATGTGTGGGTGGATGAGGGAAGAAGAGGATGGTGGGAGAGGAGGAACGTTTTCTGGAGGTTGAGTATTAACCTGGGTGGATGATTTGGACTGTACTGAGGTGATGGTAGACATTGGGAAGGAGGTAGTAGTAGCAGTGCTGAGATTTGTGGTCAAAGGAGGGCCTGGAGTCGGGGAATGGGGAGAATTTAAATGTGTGTGGCTAGTTGATAAAGGTCCCAGCCTTAACCCCTGTGATCTAGGTGACATGACCATCACATCATGAAAAAAATTGGCTTGAGGGGCATGTGAAATGAACATGCTGACATGGGAAAATATAGCTAACTTGCCATAATGAGCATTTTGGCTGAAGGTTAGGGTGACAGGAAAGATTAGCCATGAATGCATAAACCTCTTGGAGAGTGACTAGACTTATTTGGCATTTAGCAAGGGGCTTTTGCATTATTTCTAATAGTAAACGAGTATGGAATGTATTGTCTGTAAGCCATGACTGGAAAAGTGCCAGCTCCAGGGAAGACACCATTTCCATGCTCAGGATCTTATTCCTGGCTGCTGTGACTAGCAGTGCAGATTGAATATTACAAAACTGAATATTACAAAAAAGACACAAATAAGAAAATGTTACTTATTGTTATTATTCTTGGACTGAGTTATGGACTACCTTGAGAAAACAGTCAATTACCATCTGTATAAAACAAATCAACTGATGAATATAGACATTGGAAAATGGAAAAAAACTAAAATTTTGTATGTATAAAAAGAGAAAATAACATTGTAAAGTGTGCCCTGCCTTCAAGCTGCACACCTATTAGAGCCATCACTCACATAAACCTTATGCCTGTATTCTGGGCCATGTGACTGCCATGAAGCAAATTGGATACAAAGGTGCAAAATCTTCATTACTGGAAATGGTAAGCCTGGAGTATGATGGGGAGAGGAACTGTCCACCCCTCAAAGTTCCCTTGAGGAGTAAGGGCTAGACAACTAAACGGGAATACCATGCCCCCAGGTTGTTAATGACTGGTACAGAGTCAGCCTCTCATCCTTTCCACACGGCTCTCACACCTTAGGAAGTGGAGAGTAGGAGGGGTTGATGAAGGAAAAAAAGAAGAAGGAGAAGGAGAAGAAGAAGAAAATACCATGCAATATTAGTTGAATCAAGGGCTGAAGCCCAAGGGAGGAGAGTTCCCCAGCACTGGGTTGGAGCCTCCATTTCCTAGGCCCTCCTCACAGCAACAGGCATGGGATGGGGGGGGAATTGGGTGTTAAGTGTATCCTATGAGCACTATTGTACTACTGTCTAATTGTACAAACCACAATAACTTTCCAGTCATCAAAAATGAAGTCCAATTATGGAATAAATATTTTAAGATAGCACAGTAAATCTTTGTCGGTTTACTTCCCTGCTTGCTCAATGTTCAGTTATTTTATTTACTTCAGGCTCCCATAAACACAAACATACACACACACACTATGTGCACATACACAAACACATGCATTTATACATATACAATCTAAAAAATTGCTGACACATTATCTGGATATGTATTACAGATACATACATTTTTTCTTTCTTTCTTTCTTTCTCACATATCTCAAAATATATCATATGGTCAGCCTGACTGATGGTCATCAGATATCAGGATACTTTCATGTTGATTCACCCAATCCCACTTGAAGTCAAAATAGCTTAAATGCATACTTCCTCATCTTTATCAACCATCTTTAAAATGTAAAACATAGTTCTTAAAATTTGGATCTATCCAAGATGTGTTTGTCTGAGTAGATGCCTCAAGCCCATCCAAAAGGGGGTAAGAATGAAGACTGATTTAAATTTAAGCATAGTTCAATTCGTTTTAAGCCCAATCACCCTGGGAGATGCCAGTTGACATATCACATCAAGGGTACAACAACCCATCACACAGGGATGTTGACTTTGTGCCATATGCAGTCAAGTCTGCTTTAATTTGTGCAGGCTACAGTTGTGCACTTGTTTGGCCCTGGCTGCTCTCAAGGAAAGCCTCATCACTTTAGCCTTAATACCTAAAAAAATGTTTGGTAAAGCTAAACAGTTTGAACAGTTGAATCCATAAACATGCAGATGTTCAGTATGGTGGTGGGGGCTCCCTCCATCATTGTGTTAAAAATTATCATTTAAAGCTAATTTGGGGGACAAAAAATATGTTTTACTGATGATGGCATACAGTATTGCAAGACATTAGCTTACTTTTAATGATTTTTCATTAGTTAAATTATACAGCCAACATATAATGGTGTTAAAGGACAACTAGTATAAAGTGTTGGTAATCTTTAATGTAGATTTAGAAAAAATACTTGAAGAGGTTCTGCTTGTAAACTTTAAACCTAACAAATAAGATATTTTTGTTTGCCGGTTATCATGTAAATGTAAATGTAAACATGCAAACATATTACATCATGCTTTGTACTTTCAATTCTGTCAGTATCATCTTATAAAATGTAAAATGTAAATATAAAATCACAGTAAAATATGCCAAATACAAGTTACTGGTTCAAAAAACAACCATTTCCACAAGAACTTTGGACCCTATATCTAAACACCATAAAAATATTTGCTTAAACTCATCAATGACTACTGACATCTAAGGATACAAGCAACACATAGAAAAGGCAACATCAAAACAAGCTCTGAAACAACAATTTATAAAAAAAAGAGTTTAATGTAAATCAAAGAACAGTGTGATGTTCATGTTTCACACAAGAAAACTATATAAAATCCTTTAAACAATAGAAAACACAGGCATTTCATGTTATACAAACCACTCACATTCCTTATCTGGGAAAGACTGACTCAGCAGTAAAGCCCAAAGACAATATAGTGATATATATATATATGAACTGTTACAAAGTTTTTGACACTGATGTATAACTGTTGACACTGGAGCCATAATTTTTGAAATATATTTACACAGGGCTTTTGAGGGTTATAACAATTTTGAACTCACTTCTTTACATATTTGATAAAAATA